GTTTAGTTATACTTTCAAGGAATGAGGAAAGTATGAGTCAGTAACCATTTATTCTTTACAAAGATACACTAAAGGTTATCTTTTGCCTATTATATCTTGTGGCTATGCTTGTATGTGAGAATGGAATAACGGATTATTAGCTCAAGCTGTTATATGAACAGTGAATACTGTGATTCAAAATAAAAATGGATGAAGAGTGGAAAGAAATGAAGAGCACAAATACCAGCAAAGCACAAGCATGATGTCAAAATTCTGGTGTTGACTGTTTAACTAGTGGCTCAAGGTTCATGCCTGTGTTTTGATTCAGTTTGTGTAATTTGTGATCAAGATTCACAATTAATTGAAGAGTTTAGAGTGAATTTAGATCCACTCTTAATTGAAATGTTAGCAAATTCACATTAATTGTCCAATATCGCAGATTCAAACTCCTTCTGCCAGTCTGATTCTGGATCCTTTCCAAGCTTGAAATAATGTAAATGAACTGTGAGCAGAAAAGGAAAAATAACTAAGAAAAAATAACTGTCAAGAATGGAGCATACATGGAACTGGGATTTAAAAGATTCTGGACATTAAACTGTAGCAACTTATAAGTTTCCAGAAACTGTATGTACTGACATTTAGTCCAAATAAATGAGTGATGATACGGGATAATAAGGTGCAAGTGCAGCGGCCTGGCAACGTGTTTGAAAACAAATCAGCACTAACTATTGTCATTTGTGTCGCAGTCTGAACAGGCCTTTATCTTGCATACATGGAGGAAGGTGTACTCACATGTACTGAACCCAACTCAATGGTTTTTTTAGAAATGAAGCTCAGAAGGTAGAACCCAACTCCAGGATAAGATCAGGCCTTGGCTGCTGTCCCAAGGAATTAATGAAGTATGTGTAACATCACCTCTAACCTGTATGGTTCCACCACCTCTCAACATGCAAGGTCAGAAAAGCATTTCTTTAGACAACAGTGTTTTCATGTACTTCTTGTATCAGAGTTCATTTCATTTCCCTCAGACACTTCAGATAGTCTGGACAGTAACAGCCTGGCTTTCAGGATTGCTTGGCACTAAGGTAACCATTGGGTAATGTGAGTCTGTAATAACCTGTGTTTAGCATGGCATAGAAAGGCTGCGTGTGCAGCTAAGGTTTTGTGTGTTGGCCAGTAGAAAGCTGTTATGCTGCAAACCATGTAAGATGCATTTAAGCTGCATGTCATTTATGTTTAGGTACTAGATGTCTGAATTTTAGACACAGGCACCTAAGCTTTATCTGTTAAGAATGCAACACTATTTTAATAGTGGTCTAGCTCCAGAAGAGCTGCATTCAATGGAGAATGAGGTCTGGTCTAACAAGGGAAATGTCTGCATTCTGCTATATCAAGATAATCCGAAATGTTCTTTAACTGATTTGGCACTAGCTCAGGTGTTCAATCTGCCCTTCTTTGCTCTATGTAATGATTCTGTCCATGTTCTCATTATTAATTATGACTGAATTATTCATGTTCTCTGGGAATTTAATGCTCAATGTCAGTAAGAGTGAGCTGGGCGTTCGGAATGTAGGGCAGCAAGGGCCACATTTCTGAACAGTGAGAAGTTGTTTTATTAAAGATTTTACAGACCCCAAGAACACACTCTGTTCTTGAACTAAGAATTAATGTGTGAAACATGAGTATTTTGTTGCAGGGACTGCTTGACAGTGGATTTTTAATCTATCACATGCAGTCTGTGATTTTTCTATTACAGATTGGTTTTTTTTGAGGGAGTAATGTGTGCCATATCACTTGTTCACTACAGAGTCCACAGATACATTAGGTATAATTGGACCTCTGTTTTCATGTTCCTTGTTGATTTTGTTTGGTCTGGCTTTTGGCTCTAATTCTAATTGTCAGACTGGTATTATCAATTCCTTGACATTTCTTCCAATACTCATTAACTCAGGTTTCTCACTGTCTGTCTTGGGATGCCACAGTCCTGCAAGGTAAGGAAATAGGATTGGATTTTTGCGTAATTTCAGAAGTCCATAATTTTAAACATTTTATTAACATTCTTTTCCTTTTCTTGCCAGTTCACAGTTAATAAAAGGTCACAGCAATCATCAAGTTAATTTAGAACAATATGTTAAACTAAAAACATTAAAAGCCTGTAAGTAGGTTTGCGTAGATGTATCACTAATTCATCTCATGAACTCTATATCCTTAGTAATACACAGTCTGGAATGTGTCTTACTTCAAGTTTAAATTGGTGCCTGATGACTACTTGATTATCCTGGACTGTGAAGAACAGAGCTCAGCAGAATCAACACATTGGAATAGTCTGCATTCCATGAGATTTGAAATGCAGAGACTATCTACGACCACAGTTTCTGAGACATGGAAGCTATAAGGGAATAATACTGGTAAGTTTCCCTCAATTTGTAAGCAAGTAAGCTGAGTGATAAGGGGGAATTTTTAGCACTAACTGCTATATTGTGCTCAGTGTTTTAAGACAGCAGCCATTTTACTACAAAATTTGTTCTGGATGTGTGACATCAATACAGATCATATAGCTCTAGGCCATTCTCTGTAGAGATGTCCCAGATCAATTACACAGACTGTAAGAAAGTAAAAGGAATTACTTATCCAAACACATTTCTTCTCATGTAGAAATCAACAAAATTCAGCTAATTTAAAGCCCAACTGTCTTTTGAGTTATCTCTTTTTAAAAATCCTTACGACCAGAGAGGATAAATAATGTAAGGAACCTTTATCTTGTTAAGGTTTGGAGGTTTATATCTCTATCTTCCTAAGGACGCAGAAGCATCCATGAAAAATACTTGCCAGCCATCTCCTATCCTTATCTCCTTGAAGTAGCCACTGATATTAGAATATTTACTTGTTCTTTCTGAACTGATTTCCAACTTGCTCTTGAGCATTCAAGGTCCTTTCAAGATGGAACACTGGGCAACATGCTTGGGGCTGCCCATGAGATATAAGGACTTCAGCTCTGACAGCATTTACTGCTCTAGGGTGACGAGAGTAGTTCTGTTTTACTGACTCAGTCTGCAAATTTCTGATTTGCCATCACAACACAGTGTGTGCTAAAAATTAACACTGCGAAGGAATAACAAACTGTTCTGCGAACAAACCTGCAGTGATTGTGAATTTCATGAACCTTAAAATGTTAAATAAATGTGATCGTAATTTCATCTTATTGGGTTTTGGATAGAATTATCTCTTTTCTATGCACTTTTTTTTTTTCATCTTCCAGGATAGCAGAAAGCCCTCTGTGCCATGAGTGATATTATGGATTTCAGACCCCAGAATTAAATAGCCATTGTGAGTGTCCATGCTTTTATAATTACAGTTTGTGTGTTAAAGATTTCTTTTATGATTGTTAATATGTGCTGCAGCCACATACACCCCATTATGCATGTGGATATTCAACCTGTCTTTCCTAACAGAATCTTCATGCCTCTATCAGAAACCCACCTCATTAACAGGAAACACTTATAGGCCTGCCTATGAACTCAAATACTTAAACTAGTTCAGCTGATGGTAGGTGGCTGTTGGTTGTCTTAAAATGGATTTAAGTGGTGATTGATTGAAAAGGCACAGGAAAGTCGTTGGGAATCAGAAAACAGTCATTTAAGGTGCCTGTGCCATGACTTTTCAGGCCTGCAGCCAAAGAACAGACATTTACATGAAGTAGATGTCTTGCATTCTTGTAACAGCTAGAATGAAAACAAAATCCGTGCATGACAGAGGGAATTTTCCACGTGAAGTTTGCTCATAAGTTTTTATACCTAAGAAAGCAATCTTGGATTATTGAGCTCTTGCAGTGGGTATGGTTGTCACACCATACAGCACGTTCCAGTTGGAGCCCCCGGATTCTACAGGTATTTAGGAAAGTGAAATCTTTACAACATGACTTCTGCTTGCAGTCTTCAGCAGTGCTTTGATTCATGCTGCAGTACTAATGCATAAAGCTTGAATTTGTAGTCTTTCTCAACAAGTGCATTTAGACTTCTTTCAAAAGACAAATCAATAATGCTAATAGAAATCGATATTTGAAAACATTTACCAGTTGTTAGTTTTATGGGTCTCAGAATTACTAATCTGGGTTTATGTAATACTGCTAAGCAGGCAGTGGTCGCAGTATAGAAACATACAAAGCGCCTGTAGAGGAGTTTCTGAACTAATTCAATATGTTCTCAAAACTTATCAGTAGGGGGAGGCAGGCGGCTGCAATACTGTGCCCGTACATCAGAACAAACTTGATCTGCTGGAAAGCCAAAGTGGAGCAACTGGAAGTGCAAGGATTAACAACGCTGTAAAGCATCCTATTCACAGGTTAGATGATCTTAGTTTACTGCAGTTAAATCTTGGTTAAATTAAAACAAAGTTTATCTGTAACTGGGTGCGTCCATAGAATAGTTCGCTTCACTTACTTGTACCGATTCACTTAGTGCTTTTAGTTGCTAATTAATTACTTTTAGTTGCTAATTAATTTTCCCCAAGTGTGTTGTGCGAGTACCAGCAGGCATACAGGACACTGCAGACAAAACATTAAAAAAATGAAGTTATATATATATATTTAAAAAAAAACAAAACAAAAAACTGGTTCCAAAACATTTTTTTCAGTGAGGGGAAGCTGCCTTATCTAAATAAATTGATGGTGGAATCTGACTCAGCCAGAATTAACTTAGGACGTTACTAATATTTTCTTGCACAGGAATTTAAACTCTGAAAGCTTTTGGAAAAGTGTGCAGATTAATTTGCTCAGTACACACAGCTGATGTTCATAAATCTCATCAGATTTTAGGACCATTTACCTCTAGTAACAAATACAAACATTTTGAGTGACAGGCATAGAAAAAAAGCAGATAATCTAAAACAGGTGAGCATTCAGCTGTTCTGAAGCTGTTAGGAACAGTGAGGTTTTCAAAATGTGATTGTTTGGGGTATTTCTTTGTAATATTTTCCCAAAATTGAGAGACACCTTAGTTGCAAAAAGCGTCCATCTCTGGTTAAACTTATGGCATCTCTCCCTCACAGTTGTGTGTGTAAATGCAGCAGATTGTACGGGAGCCACAGGCAGCTGAACGGAGGCCCTGCATTTCTTGTCCACTGCCTGTTATGGATAATACATTAATCAGGGGATCCCTAACAGCCTGTACCATATTGTATCTTGGTAAGATGGTGAAAGGTCTTTGTTGAAGACTACTCTTACTATCACATGGAAAAGAGCTAGTAGCACTTCAGGTTTTGAAGTCTTCTAAAACTCCAGTTATAGAGTTGCATGAAAAATCCACCATGGGTTTATTCTATAAGTTTTTAAAAATTTAAGGTCATTCTAGCATTACTGCATTAATGGCACTGACCTAAACAACTCCTTTTCCATTAATTTAACATTCAGTCAGTATTTCTAGAAATTAAGCTCAGTTCCCTTGGTTCTAAATACTTTACATTCCCTGTTCTTTTTTTAATGATCTCAATGTGTCATTTTTCTGATGCATCTTGTTTCTCCTGATGGTGTGGTTTATTTTGTGCATACACTGGGCTAATGATTATTGGAGTAAGAGTTTAAAACTTCTACAAGTCGTTTATGAGGCAAATAAGAATACAGACAAGTGTCTTTACATAAAAATGTCTTACTGATGGATACTGAATTGTTTCTGAATTCAGTAAGTGAATTGTTTGAAACAGGCTGCATTGCTAGGTTTAATGAGTTGTAGATGTAATCTCTTTTTTCTTAAATCAAGTTTTTTCCCTTCTTTGTGCCCACATGAATAGTTTACACGAACTTTTCTTCACTAAGTTTTGATGCTACACCAGGATTGGGGTTGTACACAATATTAACAATACAGACTGAAGTTCAATACATCTGTGCACTAGAGGATTATCTGGCAGGAGGTACTATGATCTGGACCAAGTGTAAACAATTTTTGGAAAATTAGCTACAGTAGATGCCATAGACTGCTTTATAATGGCTATAGGAGGAAGAGTGGTACACAGTATGTTACTAATTTTGTCAGGATGAAGTCACTCCTACCAATTTTTTAACCTATTTTGGCATACATAGGAGCTGACTTTAAAGCCTACGGAGAAAAGAGTTCTGCAGAGGCTTGGCCTCAATCCTGCATTTTGGAGAAATCTAGAGGAGAAAATATTGGTTTGACGTAAGTTTTGAGAACAATCTGTTTGATCAAGAGTGACGATTGATAGTCTTGTGCACACCGGGCTGTACAGTACTGCAGTGTAGTAAAAAATTATTAAATAAAATATTAAGACATGATGTATCCTGCCTACAAAGACCTCACCAAATCCAACGCATTGTGATCTTTAGAGGTAATGATCACTAAATTACAACTCCAACATCAACTTTCTTTTTAGTGTTTTTCAGCCCTAAGCATGTTCTGTTAGAATATCTATGCCAGAATATTACTTGTTCCCAGCTTAATTACATGGAAGCCTCACTCTTTCATTCTCCTCTCTTACTTCTGAAATTGCTTCCTCCCTGTCTTAGCCCTGCTAAGAACAGCAGTCCCAGTGGTGAGGACCCCAGGGCAGTGCTCCTGCCTATGCTCAATTGACTCCACATCCGACAAGCCCTGCTCAGAGCAATCACAGCTTGAACAAAGTTTACTCTTCCTGTGCTGCCTTTTGCCTGCATATGAACATCTGCACCTGAAGTGCAATACTGCAGTGATTCTCAGGCAGTAAGGTGTGCCCACAGTACTGACAAAGTACCATTTTTACAGGTGTTTATATTTCTTTCGGAGTAAATCAGGCACAGTCAGTTGGAAGAAAAATGTTGCAGATCAAATCACGTCTGTGCAGAAGCTGTGCCAGCATGCACTTGTTGGGGAGGGATCAGACCTTTGCACTTCCAGAGCTACATAGGCAGAACCTTACAACTGTCATTGTATTTCATTGCTCTAAAAGCAGTACTTGCCATTCTTCACCCCAGTGAGTGCTTTTCTTAGTTCTGTGCTATGCTTTGCTCGAATATCACATGAAGGTGGGTCTGGTAGTAGCAGATCCTCAGGCATTGGCATAGCACAGTTAAGGGCTGACCTTTGTAAAATGAAGAGCATCAAAACTTTATGATGATTAATTTGCAGAGGCAGTTTTAGAGCTTTCATCAGTCTCTGTTTGCAGAAATGGTATTTTTTGTTTTGATTTTCTAGTGGTTGCGACCCTGTTCATGGCAGAGGGGTTGAAACCAGATGATGTTTGAGGTCCTTTTCAACCAGGCCATTCTGTGATTCTGTAATTGTTCTGTTAAGCCCATCGTATTGCCATAGTATTTTACCCAGCTCCCAGTTCAGTGCATTTTAACTGTATGCATGCAGAACATCTTTGATAATAGCAATTTAGATGATGCTCCTCAAAATCCGTGCTGAATTCTTACTTCTTGATACAAATAAACCTTAAGCAATAACAAATTAGGAAGTTTCTTTCTTTTTCCTTTATTTTATTTTCCTTTTTCCTTTTTTAGAAGGTGGGGTAGCAAAAATATATTTTCTTCAGAAAGCAATGTTTTATTACATTTTCTTTCACACCACCTGGTATATCTTAGCTCACTGTAAAACTGACTCCTGCTTTTGCTCATTTGAATTTTTCTTAAAAATGTTATTCCACTGACTCCTCTATAAATACTGAAAGGTTTTTGTGCTTGGTTTTTTGTTTGTTTGTTCTTTTTAAATAGCAATATTTATAATAACAGTATTTTCAGGACTACAGATAAAATTTTAAAAGATGCCTGTCTACCCTGGGGAAAAGAGGTGCTCACAGTGTTATTTCCTGAAAAATGACTCATCATTTCTTTTTTGTCCTAGCCACACTTTTTGTTCAATGGTTGCCACATAAAAATAAATCATCCCCACTATGTTCCATTATGCTTTTGTCTCCTTAATGCATATTTGCATAGCCTACTTAGCATTCACAAACTAATACCAATTTGTTCATTCATACCTGTAGTGCATATGATTTTATGCGCAGTGTGTGTATTAATTAACAGCTACAGAGGCATTTCTGAGCATGAAAATTGGCTCTGTCACCCTGTACTAAAATTTCAGTTGTGTTTTATGCCTTTCAAAGTAACAATATGAACAGGACAGCACTATCACAGGGAGCAGGGAATCTTGGTGGAATCTCATGCTGCAGCACAAATCATTACATGAAATGATGAATGTGTGACGAATTAAAAAAGTTCTTGGTTCAGCCAGGGATTCAAATCTACAGATCAAAGCTCAGATTTCTGCAGAATCAATGGGACTAGAACTATCTTACAGACTTTCTTCCCATTTGAGGACTGAAATTGCACAGGTTATTGAGGCTGAGTCAGGTTCCAAGTATATGTATGTACACTTAGATTCAGAAAAAAAACACCCACAAATATCACTTCTGTTGTCTGAAGAGAGCTGCAGGTATGTTTTTAACTACAGTGGATCATTCTGTGCAGTTGTGCAGTGTAAGAGCTGCCCCCATTCTGAGGCAGATGTTAATGAGGTTGCAGCTCTGCTTTTTCTCATTTGTAAATGCTGGGTGCCGTGCAAGGCTGGAGGTTTTTGCTTGTTACTGCTTATTTTTTAAGAACCTACTTTTGTCTACATAACTACAACTGAAGTTGAAAATTAGCTGAGAAAAACATTACATCCTTCCTCCTTGGAAATTGTGCTAAGTGGTTTTGTGACTTTTTTATACCAGTCCTGCAGCAAAGAGGAAGCATCAAAAACAAAAACAAAACAAAACAAACAAAAAAAAATTCACCTATTTAAGCTCTAATGAAAGGTTTGATTATTAAGCTTGATTGTTTTTTTTTTTTTTTTTCTCATAAGATTAATCCATTTACATCAATAAGATTACTCACGTGAGTACCCTGTTGCAGAATTTGCCTCTAGTACTGTGATTGCCTAGGGGGAAGTACAAGGAAGTTGCAATTAAAGTTACAGAAGGAAAAGGAGGTCTGACCTTTTCTTTTCTTTCCCTTTTCTTTCCCTTTTCTTTCCCTTTTCTTTCCCTTTTCTTTCCCTTTTCTTTTCTCTTTTCTCTTCCCTTTTCCCTTTCATTTCTTTTTTCTTTTAAAGTATGCCTGCTGCATTGACAAATGGCAATAGCTTTTGCACTATTAAGTGCTACCAGCAAGAGAACAAAACTGCTTTTATTTAAAAAGAAACAAAAAACTATGTGCTTTACATCTTTGTTGTAAAAGGTAAAAAGAGGTGGATGTCTGATTAGGGGTTGTAACTTCAAGGTACCTTAAGCTTTCTTTATGTGGATCACATCAGTGGAAAATTCCTTTGTTCATTTTAGAAGATAAACAGTTGTAACTTTCACGTTTGGTTGATGTGACATCAGTGACTGGCTGGGACTGCCAGCATTCCAAAAGGGATATCATCCTAATCTGCAGCCACTCAGGGCCATGGGGCGGAGCCTGCAGTCCAAGCCAAAACACTTACAGGTGCATAAGTAAGTAGGGAAGGGCACAGGTGATGCACCTGTCTCAGGAAAGGAGCACTAGCACAGGTGTGTCATAACTTACCAGCTGCCTGTGTTAGAGCATGAGCTCCTTTGATCCACAAACGCACTCTCCACCACGCTGCAGCCCACAGTTTCCAAATATTGGTCAAGAACCTCCAGAAATGAATATCTACTATGAGAACTTCTTCCATCCACAGAATATTCCTAGTCCACAGCGACCGAGCACCTTTGAGACAACGGACTACAACAGCACACCCAATCCTTACCTCTGGCTAAACGGACCTTCCATTACTCCACCACCGTATCTCCCGGGATCCAATGCCAGTCCCTTCATTCCTCAGTCTTATGGGATGCAAAGGCAGCTCCTGCCTAACATGCACGGCTTGGGAGGAACTGATCTTGGCTGGCTTCCTCTGCCATCCCAAGAAGAGCTCATGAAGTTGGTTAGACCTCCTTACTCCTACTCTGCACTTATTGCCATGGCTATCCATGGAGCACCAGAAAAGAGGTTGACTCTCAGTCAGATCTACCAGTACGTGGCTGACAACTTCCCATTTTACAACAAAAGCAAAGCTGGCTGGCAGAACTCAATTCGGCACAACTTGTCTCTCAATGATTGCTTCAAGAAGGTGCCTAGAGATGAAGATGATCCAGGTATGGTTCCCCCCACTTTTCTCCTCTCTATGTAAATGCGATTAATCTAATACACATAGTAGCTTCTCTTTTTTCACAGGGCTGCACTAGAAGGCAAGCATGCATAGCTGAGTTCTGATTCAATGTTCTTTATCAAATCTCTGTAGAGAAAGAGATTCTTTAGTGCTCTAAATCTTCCTCAGAACCAAGCACAGGAGCCTGAGGAAGTCATATTCAGAAATCATTTGGTGTAATGCATGTGAATTATATCAAACTTAACTGAGGATTCATGGAAAGAGGATAAAGAAAATTCAGACTAGTCACAGAAGTCCAGTAGCTTTAGGGAGTCAACAGTAATTATCATGAGAGCAGGCTGCTTTTGTTTTATTTCAAGTAGCATTTTGCTTGGAATCTCGCTTTGGCTGTTTCCAACCCACTGGCTGAAATGTCATCAGATTCTTCTTTTTTTTTTTTTTTCTTTTCCTGTCAGTAGCTGTTGAGAACCTTTTGGGACATTTAAAAGCTACTCAATTGTGTTGCCAGAGAGAGCCAAAAATGTGGTTCTATCTCATTGGTAAACTGTCCTACCACACTGAATCTGCAGGAGCAGCCCATTGTAGGACCAGTTATTTAATGAAAACCTCATTCCCCCACCAAGAAAAACAAATAGCAAAAGTAAGAAGTCCTTCTAGAGGCTCCAGTTGTAGTTCCAGCTGTATGTAGAGTCAGGGCTACAGGACACTGGGAAAAACTTTATTATTTTTTTCAGAATTCAGCAGACTTCTGCTTTTGTGTGGTTACAAAACACGTGTATTTTTTGTTCACACAAATTTTGTTTCTGTGAAAATAAAATTGAAGAGTCAAAGAAAACTGTTCTTTACTGACTACAGGCATATTTTAAAAGAGAAAATATGTGTTTATCCATCCTTGACAGGAAAAGGGAATTACTGGACTCTGGACCCAAACTGTGAAAAGATGTTTGACAATGGCAACTTTCGCAGGAAGAGGAAAAGGAAATCTGATATTGGGGCTAGTTCTGCCCATCTTACATCTGAGAAATCCGAGGACAGTGCCTTGACTGGCAGCCCCAAAGCTGTAGAGCATCCGGATCTTTTGGAAAACTCATCATCTGGGACCGACAATCCCCCTGGTAAAGGATCTCCGCCTCTATCTTCCAGCAGTCCATGCCTTAGTAATTTCATTTCCAGTATGACTGCTTACGTTAATGGCTCTAATTCAGTGGGCCGCTCAGTGCCATTGGGACTTAATGCTGAACCCACTGACAAAATGGGACAGAATATGGTAGGCTTAAATTCCTACTCTCCACTCTCTAATGTCCCCAGTCATGGTGTGGGAGAGTGGTCCAATTCTATGCCTCCCAGTCACCTCGGCTATAGCAACTCAGTGCTCAACCAGTTTAACACCCATTTTTACAGTAGTATCAGCACAAATAACACTCTGTTTTCCAGGGAGGGGACAGAGGTTTAAATAAGAGATCTTAAGACATCAATATATAGCTATTTATGAGAGGGAGTGACAGGTGGGTGGATGATTATTGTTAGTCTGTTGTCTCTAGGACCTGCATTGTGTCCTACCTTCTGACAGCCCCAAACGTTTTAGCTGTTATCCTTACTCAAGCACTCCACATTTGGCAGCTCCATATAAAAATGGAGGGATTTTAACAGCAAGAATAGTGAAGAGGTCTGCTGGAGATTGTGTTCGTACTGCTGCCAACCATGGTCCCCTGTGGACATCCTTTAGAGGAATTACTGTTTACCTTAGGAATGAAACTTTCTGGCAAGGTACTAATTTTGCTATGATGCTTTTAAAGCACTAATACATATTTGGCTGTATCTGCAAATTACCTCTCTTGCTTATACAGGCTGTCTGTACTAGAGATTCTTGGTAAGTTCTTATTGGGACAAAGCTACTCTGAGACACTGAAGGATCTACAGCAAAAACTACTACATAGTGAGTAATAACTACTTGAGTGAATGCCCTCTTTAAATTTCTCTAACACTAGAGCATACGTTGCCTCAACTCCGATGCTGTTTCACCCCTAAGGGAAATGTGGTTGTGAAGCAGGCTAACATAATCAGGGACACAACATTCACTTTGAAACTGAAACAAAGCATAACAAAATATAATGGAGCTGCCTTCTGCTGGTGCAATTGGATCTTTGTGTTTTAAATTCTGAGTAATTTTGTGGAAAACGTGTCTGTACTATATATTTTCTTCCTTTTTGTAACAAAGTCCATACAATTGTTTTGTCATTGTGTAAATATTAGGAATAATTCTTATTTTTTTATATTCTACTGTAACCACAAACAAAAATTAAAATAAATGAAGTTTTTTCAAACCAATAATTGAATCAAGTTTCATATTTATGTAAAATAATACCTCAGACTGTAGAGCCTGCAACATATGTAGGCACCATGTTTTACTGGTATTTACTTTTACACTGCTGTGCACTGATCAGACTTCCAGAATGATGGAAAACATTAATGCACTGTAATAGCTACTGCTTTGTCTTGATTTTATATATATTTTTTTAACTCTAGATGGATACAGTTTTGTTACAGGCCATCCCAGAAGCATTTTTAATAAAGAATTTGTATATGAGAATGTGTGTGTACTATACTTCTTACATCTTTAAAAGCCTCCTTAATAATTTGACTTGTGCTGTTAGCTTGAGGAAAACCTAATGAAATATTCAAGTAAGGTCAGAAAGTGAGACAGTAGATGTCTAGTGAATCAAAATTTGCATGCCTGAGGAATACAATTGGCTGCTATTATGCAAAATACTTTCACTAAAGAAAAATAATCCTTACAGTTGTGCTATTAGAGTTAAGGAGTGCCAATCATTTCAGAAACCAGACTGTATTTTCACATGCTAATTAGCCATAGAGTGACCGCAATCATTTCTACATTCTCATTTATCATTTTGTCCTTATGACTGTTCACTGAGCTCACTCAATATTATGAGTTCTCATTTGGAAGCTGAAACCTCCATCCATGGCTAACAGCTCGAATAACAAAATAAAATAACCTTCTGGCAGTGCCCTTCTGCCATGCCTGTAAGTTTTTCTGAAGTCAGGCTGTACTGAGGCCTGAGCCGTAGCCTCCACCCTCTGGATTTTACAGCCATTCCACAAGTACCAGCCCAGGTGAGCCCTAGAATGCCCTGCAAGTCAGCAGCCAGCAGCATTTGTTACAGAGACTTGCTCATGTGACAACTGAGAAATGCATTGAGTCAGCACTGTTACGTGTGGGATCCAGTAAAAATGCAACAGACCGCTCAAAACTGCAACTCCTGTGGAGTACAGAGTTCAGAAGACAGAAGAAATAGATTTCTTTCCTCCTTAAATGTAAAATGTTCCATCGTAGACTTACGGAGCAAAAGTGTGGGAAAAAGAAAGTGCAAACTGTGCCAAGGAGAATGATATTTCTGAACAATAGCAGACAGTAGGAAGCAGCCCCTTTGTTGCTTTGTGTTGCATTTAATGTGTGGTTCCAACAAGACAAGACTTTGTGCCTCATTACTTCCCAGGCACTATTAAGCAAATACCACTTTTGGCCTGTAGGTAGTGAGGAAGTACTTCTAACATGCTGGTACCCTAGCAGAGGTATTTTTCCTACTGGATGCCATACATGCAGGTGTTAGTTAGCTCTCCAATGACCTTCCAGCTAGCTTGATATGTGCCAACTCTGGTGATGAACCTGCTGTTCAAGGAAGGAGTGGAAAAACATCTGCGTGGCACACATGAACTATTATTCCTAAAATCTTTGTAACAAAAAAAAAACAAACACATTCTTCTTTATTTTTGCTTTTTTTTTTTCTTTTCAGAGAGAGTTGATTTTGATAACCAGTCACACTGATAGGTTCCTGGAGATACTGCACATCAGTCTAGCACCTGCAAGGAAACTGTTGTGCTTGTATGAGCAGCAGCACTGGTCTTCTTAAGGTAATGCTGTTATTCATGTATTTTGCCAGTATGGTAATTACATGGGGTTTGAAATGAAAAGCATCTGTATTGTTTTTCTTTAGTGTTTTTGTCTTTGTTGTTGTTTTTACGTACACTATATTACCAACATGTATTGTTATATGGTATAGTACAAACATTTACTGATTGGTGCTGCTTGAAAATATAATCTGGGCTTCAGTGACTCTCATTAGTTTGGTCTGTGATGATTCCTGATTGATTGATTGTTATTTTCTTATTGTGTTTTGTTTTGAAATGCAGCTATCTTCACATCCCAATGTGGGCACTGGGTTCCTTGATTCTTCAATTACTTGTTCCTGGTGTAAATGCTAGCTGTTAAAGGTTGCTCCTGTCCCACCAAAACCACAGCCAGACGTGAAGTGGTCAGAATAGGTTCCTACTTCTCCTCCCTCTGTCATCACAAAACTTCTGCAAAGACAGAAGCCTTCTGTGGCAGACAGTGTGCTTTGAGTGATGAGAAATAGGTTCCTAGTTGAGGTATAGTTGAGGTATACCAAAGATTAGCTGCTGAACCACTTGGGCAGTTTCATCTTCATTCACCTTGGTAGAAACACCTTCCCTGGGTTCTTATTGCAGTAGTATTGTCATTTCATACTTCAGTGTTCTGCATACTCAGCAGGAGAATCTGCAATCTGCAGTACTTCAGCTCTAGTTTGCTCTAGTATTAGTTCTTATTTCCACATTTCCATTATAGACTTGAGCTGCAAATCATGTTAAAGATTTGAGGCTTCACAGCAGAAATCTAGGCAATCAGGTTTCCCATAGAAAGTGTTCTTCACCTTGTCATGGGATCAACTGCAAACCCTGGAGTCCAGCAGTGCCATTCCCAGCAGTCAGGTAGAGCCCCACCTACAATTTGATGTATGTAGCAGAAAAAATGTTTTGTAATCAACAATCTTTGTGAATATTAAAAAAAAAAATCCAAATGAAATGAAGCCATGAGGTAATACAAATCAGAGACTCACTCATCTGCCAAATCCAAACCAGGTCGTTGATCAGATGATCAGATAACTGTAGACAGGATAGGAGAAGAGGCTTCTGAAGACAGAGGAGCAACATTAGTGATGGTTTGCCGTAGCGATGAGGAATGGAGAGCTGTTAACAATGAGATCAGCCAAATCTTACATTACCATCAACATGCAGGAGGTGTAATTAATCTTGGTGGCAATTTACTCTGTGCTTCATAATTGTTTTAAAGGCTGAGTTTGTTGTGCAGCTTTCAGCTGGATTAGGCAAAATAGTCGAAGATCATTCTGTACTGGCATCTACTTTATTAATGGTAGTGGTTTGCATATGTTATGAACACAAAATTTAACATTCACTTTGAAGCAGCTGCTAGCACACGCTCTTCTGGCTGCATGTGATTCTTCTGCCACTGATCACTCCTTCATGTAGGTGGTCAATGCATTTCAGATGTTGATAACTGTGTCTACACAAATGCTTAAGTACTCACTCCTTCCTTTGAGTCAGTCAAAATGAACCAGGCTCAAGAAACATGCTGCAAATAACTGCTAACACTAACCTAAATAGTCCATGCTGCATCTGGTTTTGGGGGATTATGAAGAGAGAAATTAATGGACAGGTGCATCATGTTTGTGCTTGACTGAAAGGCTGGTGGACAGAACCTTCCTTCATCAAGTGAAAGCTAGTTCACACTGCCCTGTGAAACCATTCTATGAAAGGGGAAGAAATTGCTATAGCTATTGCTTTCTGTAAACAATGGAAGACTTCTAAAGCACACATCAAAAATCTAAAATGATACAGACTCAGGAACACTCTTTCAGTGCTTGGTAAACAAATAGGAAGACAAATATGTCTGGTGACTTTACCCAGTTTTCCAATTATAGTACAGCTATTTAGTTCTTTGCTTATCTAGTAAAAGGTATTAGAAAAAGAGACTGCACAATGCTGTGCAAAATATAAAAAAGAAAGAATTATAAACACCTTAGGTTTCATTCATTCTTGTCTTACCAAACATACTGCAGTGTTCTTATTAAGTGGAAAAGAAGAGAGACCAACTTAAGAAAACCTTTACTTCAGTGAGGCTTCAAATTTGTATTTAACTGTAGAACTCTGAACTGCCTGGCATTCCAATATTGATAACCAATGAGAGATTAAATGCTACTCCTTGTTCCAAGATGACACCAAGATGTGTAGCACAGGTATCTGTAAATGAAAATAAAATTAAAGTGCTGCCAGAATTTATTTCTCTGACAAACAGCAACAGGCACTTTGCCAAATGTATTCTGAATTACAATGCACTAACTTCTTTCTCATGATGGGATACATTATGAAATTCTTCACTGTTTAGTAGTTTAGTCAATACTTCCTTTGTTGCTTTATGTGAAAATGTTCGCAGGTGAATAAAATCATAAACTTCTTCCCAGTAGCACTGCCAATTCATGACACTGCCAGCTGATAGCACTTTACAGCAATTCTTGCAACTCCTTCCAATTGAACTTGAGGAGAGCTGGCTCAGAGCTATGTTACTCTTTTGGCAGCGTCTTCATACTTTAAGATGTATGAAGTCTGAATAAGAACATGAAGTTTGTCACTAGTAACCTTTATCTACAACTACAAGAATCTGAGCTGCTGTAGTCGTGGAGGTACTGCTGTTAACTCTATCACAGCTGGTACTTGTCATGTGCTAGAAACCTCCATGGCTGTGAGTACCTGGACAGAAAGACACTTCAGTTTTTCTTATTTATGTTGTAAACCTAGTTTAAGGACTTTCATCTACACAAAGAATCCTTCTTGAGTGGCCTTGCACAATATACAGTCTTCTGATAAGCTATGCAAATTAATTTTCAGACTACCCCTCCAGAAACAGTTTTTGTGTATTTTGTCTTTGCTGAATTGCAATACAAATCTTCCTTTACTCCTCACCTTGTCTTGACTCTTTTTAAATCCAAAAATATCCCTCTCCAAATTTCATTGCTGTAGACTATGCAACTAGTTCTGTGCGTACTTCCAGCATATCTTCCATCAGTGGTTATCTGTTGCTACTTAAAAAGCAAGACAAACAGTCATGCAAACTCTAGAAGTAGTTAATCTTCATTTCTAACCTGCATGCTACTCATTTCCTATATAAGTTAGTTGGTAAAAAGCTATTTATTGTTCCTTTGTCAAAAATTCCTGAAATAATCTCTCATGGAGCAGTCTCACGAAGTACCAAGGATGTCAATTCATCTCTGTTTAAAATGAAACTCAGAGAACTCAGCTCCTTATCCGTTTAAACTGACTAATGCACCTCACCCTGCTGAGTACGCCAGTGTGAGGGTGTCAGAACCTCTCTCATGCTCTTGTCTCCAGGACAACTGAAAGGGAGCAGCCTAATCCTAGGATGACAGAAGCTTTCTGTTCTTAATGTTATTTGTTATCATTTGTTTGTTTATTTTTAATGTGCTTTCCCTATGAAATACACAACACATGACAAAGCTTTTCAGCAATATCCTTCAACTGTTAGGCATGCATAGTTTAGTTAACTGCCTTAAACTGTTACTACTGCTTCCATTTAATCTTTTCCAGCCAAAAATTGCTCCTCTTGCCTCCTAGTTATCATATCCTAGTTATTCTTGCTTATGTTCCTCTGACAGATTCCAGAAGATGAGTAAGGTGAGCAGGCACAATGAAAGTGTTATCATCAAACTTTGCATGTGTATTTCCAAGAGGTAAGCAGAGCTAACCTTTGGTGTTCTAATAGATTCCATGAAGAGCACTTAGAAGCTGTGCTGTAATTACTTCCCATGTCAGGAGAGTTTATCCCCACATTTAATACTGTGCCTAGGTAATTTATGACCTCAGGATGTCCAGCTGGACTAATAAGACACTTTTACTCCTGCATGCCACCAGCTGCAGGAGCATCTGCTCCATGCTGTAATGCTAGAAGTTTCATAGCAGTGTTACATGGATAGCAGCTAATTATGTCCATAAGTGAACTGATGAGCGTTTCCAGGCAGCACGCTGGAAGGAGGAACAAGAGGAGGAAGAATATTTGTGTCATCAGGGAAGGCTTTTTCTTTGTTCTGCATGCAGTTTCATCTAGGAATCAGAATTGTCCTCTTGTTAGGATGCACCACAAAACTATGGATGTTATTTAAACTCCAGCACAAGGAGAGATACAAAGCTGCTGAGTTTATTTCTTTGTCGCCTTTGGAGGTGTGAATTTGTTGTGGCACAGTGCCGGTACTACAGAGCAGGGGGGTAACACTGATGTGCCTTATATCTCAGTAGCTATTTTTTATGCTGCTTGAACAATGTGTTCTGACACAAACAGCCTATTGTTTGCAATTTCATGCCAAGAGCTTTGTGTATGCAAACTTGCATGCAAATCAGATTGATTTACTATGTTTCCCTCCAATGAAAAAGTGAAGGAAGGAAAAAAAAAACATTTAGCTTCAGCTACACATTTTCCTATGAATAGGGCAGCTATTAAATGATTTATGGAAAGAATGCTAAGAATGCAATAAGTTCAAAGAAAGTGAAGTGCTATCTTTCTTCCCTGACAGCTGGGAACCTGGTTATTTAATGTTAATAGTGCCGTCATCCAACTAGACTCAAACCATTATTTGTGCACAAGGTATATGTGCATTTTACTGTATCACTGCAAGCAGGCAGATCTCAAATTACTGGCTTTATTTTCACTCAAAAAAAACCCAACAAAACCCACAAAAAAAAGTCTAGCATGATTCTTGCAAGGAAGGGGAAGAGAAAGGATGTGGGGTTTGATGTTTACTCCTGCTCCCTGCCTATTGCTTTGTTGGGGAAAAGGTGTCTTCAGCTGGAAATGCAAGTATTTTAAGAGCTTTCCCTACTTTAGGCCTGCCACAACTCAAATCCTTGGATCTCTAATGGGTCTAAACTAGCACACCTACCTGAATATTTCTGTGAGAAAGTACTTTGTGCTGCACTGCAAGCTGTCTGCTATCAAAGCTCTCTGGAAGACAACATACAGAACTAAAACTATGAAGGATGTCTGTAATAAGACTATATATAAATATTACAGTATAATATACTGAATTATATATATAGTATTGTGACTCTACCGATAAGGTTATCTCACATATGACCTCATTACTAAACAGGTGTTTTTTTCAATTATTTGACTGTTGCATTAAGTTTTATTGATCCCACATATGCTCCAATGGAAAATGCAAAGTTCACAAAGCTTGAACTTTTTTCCAGAACCACAAAATCATTTCTTGTTCTGCTTGGAAGTAACAAAGATGAGATAACTGTGGATAATTATGGAGAGAGATACTCCCCAAATCTGGATTTACGTAATTCTGTCTCTATTCACTGTAAGTAAATACATGATAAGATAAGCAAGCATGGAGACAAGTCATTGTTTTCCTGCTACACCATGTGTATCCTTCAGTATTTTTTATATGAAATAGATGCAGCCAAACAGCATGACAACCTGAAACCTTCTCCATGTGAGCAAGGGTCAGTGACAGTCCAGGATACCTGCAGGCTGCTTGCACTGTGACATTTCTATTTTTTGTACAGAATGTTTGCTATTTAAAGCAGTTATTGAAAAATTATATGTTTGGGGATTTTATTTATGCAAATAAACATGCAAAGAGGCATGTTCTTTTATTCCCTGGAAAGTTGTAAGACGTCCCTTAAGTTTGAAAGCCTACAGTGTATTCTCAATCAGGACATTTTTCCTCCAACAAAGTGTATTTAACATTCCTAACCTTGAGCAGCAGGAAAAAAATAAGGTCACAGCTCTAGAAAAACCTGTTGATGATAACTGATAATATGAAAATGAAGCAGTCAAGCAGGCTGTGGAAAGCATAGCCTGGATCTACTTAAAAAAAAAAAAAAAAAAATGCGATAGAAGCATGAAAATTCCCTGGAATATGAATGACACAGGAGCTATCAGTTACAATCAGGTTAATCCTTTATGTCTTTATTACCATCTGGGGCAGATGATGGCTGGAATGGCCTGTTATCCAAAATAACAGCTGAGGGGAGAAATACCAACAGACATAACAGTCACAAGATTGACCTAAACCGTGGGATGTGAATTGAGAGCACTGGCAAGTCAGCAAAACATCTGTGAATTTTCCAAATTTCCATTTTATGTGGGACACACAGATCAGACACAAGGATCACAGCAGAGGTATTAGCTACATCCTGTGGTTACCAAACATTAAATGTTGCAGTGATTTCTGCATGACTTGTAGAGCTCATCAGATGCATGTGTGTTTGGTAGAGGCAGGGGGAGTCATTATTTTTATCTGTGATCAACATCATTACTAGATTTTACAGTGTAGTTATTGAGATTATTCATCTGATAATTAGTTTGAGTTTGCAGATTACATTTGGAAAGGGCATTTTTCACCTTACATTTATAGGTAGTTTTAATATTACATTTCATTGGGCAATTGTGCAAAATATAAAGGTCTGTGTATTACTATATGCAGTGAATTCTGCAGAGGGGTACGGGCTGGTTTTGAATAGCAGGGTAAAGCAGTTAAGCAAGTGATAAATACTCCTGAATTTATATGAGAGTTATGAGGGAAGCAACAGTATGCTGTCTGTTGTGCATGCTGCTTCAGTATTTTCCTGGTAAGGAAAATAAAAAAACAGAACAGAAAACAAGGTGTTGTGTATTTTACCCTGGCTTCTCTCAGTACTTCACAAATTCTTACAATCAGTTGGAGGATTAGGAGCAGTACTTTGTGCAGCAAGTGGAAGACTGCATTGGAAGAGAATTAAATAGCTTTTCACAGAAATTGATTGTTTTTCCTGAATATAAATATGAATATACAATTAAAAAATTGTTTATATTTCTCTTTCTCTAGAGGTTTGTCTAGAGTCTGGCTTGTGTTGAAGGGGGCTGAAACAGAAGATGGGCTTGAACTTGGCAGAGCAACTCAGTTCAGGTAAATGAATCCACAAGTCCATTTGCTTGGTACAACCTTAATTTCTTACAGCAATTATGTAGTTACTACACGTGGCTTTAAAAAAATCATGCTTTGTCAGCTTTATTCTTACTTTTGAGCACTGCTCATGGACAGGACAAGAAGGACATAGAACACTGCCTACCAAAAGTTTTAGGTTACTGTTACCAGGGGTTATTACATGTTCAATTAAAAATTGTAACACATTGCAGTTCCCTGTGCTGCAATCAAAGGTATTTATAGAAACATCATCATCCAGCTTTGCCTTAGACTTTATCCATGTGATTATAACCTACAGCATGTAATGTAATCTTGGTGTAATCTTGGTTTCTAAAGAAACAGTAATCCCTCCTTAACTTTCATGCAAAAGAGTCAACGCATATTTTCACTGATCAGGTACACTCACACCAAATTGTGGTGGCTCTTGAAATTACAGCCTCCTAATTTTTACATACATATATATACATTTATTTTAACCCCACTACAGATTTTTAGGCTCAGCAGACAGTGTCTGTCAATATTTTCTTAGAAAGCAGTCTTACAGTGGAACAGAGTTTGAATAGCACTGATCATTCTGCAGTTCCTTTTGATTAGCAGTGGTAAGCAGGTGCACTCTCTGTGTTGATTAGGCACATTTATGATGAGGCTTTCTGCTGGCTGATTTGGTGCTTCAATGCTAACTCCATTCTAAATGTCCCAGAGCCTGCAGCACATAGTTAGTGACTGCATTACTTCCGTTACCACGCAATTTTTAGTACTTTCAAAGATCTCTTAAGTAATGAGGAGACACTGCACATGCAAATGATTTTTATACCACTACAAACACATGGAACTTAAGAAACGGAGCACAGAAAGATATGATCGTGCATATTAACCATCTTAGAATGTAGAAAATTAGTGAAGCATGCAGAAACAAACAGTACTCTTAGTTATGGATTCTGTGATTATGCAAGATTTCATCATGAAAATCTTTAAAATCTGTAATGCTGTTTTCTGAAACAATTTACTTCTACTTATATCAGTTTACTATTTATTGAAAAACTTAATTACTTTTGTCCTATCTTGAAATAGATTCTTCAGAAGATATATTTGAATACATTTTATGTCTTAAAGTCACCGACATTCCATTCATAACAGTACATAAATAAGCACAATATCCCTTCCCCATGTGTGTAGTGTTCATGAAAAGGAAACATGCATGGAAAGAGGCTTCTTGGTGTCCAGAAATACAAACACAACACCAAATCCCTGCCCACCACTGCAACTGCACTTCTGCTGTTAGTTTTTGCAACTAAACTGGAAAAAAAAATTGACATCCACTCAGAAAAGAAAGGAAACTCAATAGATTTTTGCACAATTTAAGGTTGAAATCAAATCCAAAAATGTCTCATAATTTTGCCTTTCCCATTTATGCATTATTTTTTTCTAATTCAAATTCAAACCTTCATTGGTACATTCAGAGCAAATAATTCAATTTATGTTAAAACAGCATAGGTTTTTTTTGTGAGTTAATAGTGCAAAAAATTTCAGGTTTCCTTTGAAAAGAAGAGCTTCTGGTCTATGACTTATTTCATTTTACACCTTAAGAAATTATGTAAATAAATAAAAAAAGATAATGCTATGAACATGATAATGCTGAAATTAATCTTGTAATACCACCTTTTACACACCAGTGAAATACACCTCCTGAGGATTATTACATGGCAACTTGAGGCATTATAAAGGGTCCACACATCAACAGCTGCTCTCCTGAGTGACACATTCTGAATCTGCAGAAGGAAAAATAATGGAGAAAAAATATCTGTGTTAATAACCCTTTAGACAGAGACATTTTTAGAAAAAAAAAACCACAACACACAACCCAATACAGAATATAGAGAAGCAGAAATAGTTGCTCCTGTAATGCTGTCAGAAATAATGTTCATTATGCAGTGTGGATATATAATAAGGCATTGAATGGAACAAAGTAAAAACAAATATGTTATTTGAAATATAAATGGTTGTATCTGGCTGAAAAATAATGTAATAATAAATTGTTTATATTAAGTTTAATAAAGAAAAACAACCACAAACCACACAATACAAGTAGTATAAATGCTACTGAAAAGAAAACCAGAGCTTTATCCTAAGTTCATGCATATGTGAGTCACAGGTTTCTGTTATATCCACCCAAAATTGCTAAAAGTCAAGATGAGAATCAGGCCCAAAACACAATTCTGGGGGGGAAAAACATATATCTGTGTTTATAATATTTAGCAATAACATTTACAGCCCTGTTATCTGCTAACTATGCAAAAACAAACATTTGGTCCAGGTGGAGTGTGCCACATGTTTATATGTAAACAAATGGCTTAATCATGCCTTAGGGCACTGCAGTGTTATAGCACACAAAGCTCCACTGATAGCCTTGGTTTTAGAGAAACCAGCCACTGCAGGAGAAAGGTAATTTGTATAAACCACCTGTAGGGAATGGAAGCTGAAGTTCACATATAGAAACAAACTTTTGACTAGGCCTAGATCTGACCGGAGTGAACAAGCAAAGCAGAGACCTGAGCTTGACCAAATCATCTACTTATCTGCTTCAGCAGAACTGCACAAACTGCAAACTGCATGTCAGTGCAGAACAACACTTGCTCCTTCAGGAGCTGTTTTGTTGTTTTTAGCGTAGTGAGGGTGGGAGAAGGTACAGTGTTTCTCATACTTCTCTGAAAAGCTGTTTCATGTCATTCATTAAATGTGGAATGTAATCTATAGAACGCATAGCATCCTCAATCTGCATTTTAAAATACAGTAAGTAAAACTTCCAGTTTTTCTTCCAGACACAGCTGGTGAGTTTGTTGATCCAGCTTAAAGACTCTCATACTTTTCTGGAACTCTGTGTATTTTACTGCAGTGCTGAAAAAACACACTTGTTAACAAATAGTAAGCTGAAAGTAGTTTATTTGTTTTTGCTAATATGCTATTCAATTTAGGTATGACAGAAACAGTCTGCCTATCTGCAAGTGCTTGAGTTCTGTATGGGCATGGTGAAGGAAGACAGTCATTTAAAAAAGTAAATAAATCAGTATTTCAGGAAAAATACAGTCAGACTGAAGTGTTTAGACCCAAACAACAGATGGTGAGGCTGCTGCAGAGCAGGAATAACAAGAAAAGTGCCTACTTTCATGACTTCCTCCTGATCTTTCACAATTCTATGATTTAAACCCATTTCTGTGAGAGCTATTCTGAAAGTAATGCCTCCTATTTTATTATGTTGGCCCATGATGTCAGAGGTGGATGTTCTTGTGATGGTGGTAAAGGCTGAACCTTCCCAGCCACATTATATTGTGCTGTGTGTGACAGAAGAGAGGCAGTCTGATGCAATGGCTCTGACATGTAAGTGTGTATGAAGCACAGGGATGGAACTGAATGGCGTTCATTGACATACCTCAACAGTTGCTGAACATTTACGGAGACCAAACAGTCACAAGAAACTCAGATCTGGTTTTGGCCTTCTTCAGCTTGTCAGGATGTTTCAAAAATAATGCTTCTATTGTTTGTGAGCTTGAATAAATTAAATATAAAGCAATCATGAGCAGTGTGCCAGGAATATGTTTATCTGTCAAAAGTCAAAGAAAATTAAGTAGTTCCCTTTCTTTAAGCACATGCAAATCACTCTTCATCATATTTACTGCTTCCTTTACAGAAATATATCCCTAGTCTATCAGCAAACAAAAGGCCGTAAGTATTCCTATAAATTTCTTGCTTTTTTACATCAAGTTTGTGTTAGAAGACAGCCACTGTGCATTTTTATACCTAACCTATTTTCAAACACAAATCTCTCAATGGAAGCTTTAGCCACTTTTTTGATGTTACAAGTTCAGTGCAACTGTATTTCCTGAATGCAAGTTACTGTGCTTAGTGAACTGTAACTGATGAACAAGATGAGGCAAGAAGCCTAGTAGCATGGCTGCAGTAGAATGTGCTGTGGAAGATCCATCTAATATGTGACTGAAAAGTAAATTCTAACATTGACTATGTGCAAACTGAAGAAGGGTTAAAAGGGGCTTAGTGAAGCCCAATATAAATATGTTATTAGGGGAGGTTTTCTTGCTGCATTGATGATTTAAATTCCTGTGTTTGCCAGAAACTAAGCTGTGTTACTGAATTATTGCTGCATTACTGAAGAAGCAGGTCAACATATGAATGTGAAGGCTATAAAGCATGCCTGCTTTATACACAATACAGTGTAACATCAGCACTCAGCTGACAAAAAAAGTACACACACAGCTTTTCTACTGCTTCATGTACAGTATTTAAAACTGGAAGGAAGACACTTGAGGCAATCTGGACTCTCATACTTCCATGGGTCACAAAGTTGCTTGTTTATCATTTGCTTTAGGCCAAGAAAAGTTAGCCAATATATTATCTGCCCTTCAGATGAGAGAGAGGAAACAGAGGGTAACATATAATGTACTGCAGCTATTAAACCCCCCACATTTTTGCTACAGAAATGCAGGAAGCATCTAAAGCACTTGCTTACAAGAGGAAGTCCAGGTCAACAACCCTTACGTTTCTGCATTATCAGTAAAGCCAGAAATATATGTTAAAGTTGTAGCTCTAGTATCTACTCCCAAGAAATGTAGTTCACCTCCCTATATGCATTTAAGAGTACTGCACTGATCTGCTTTTCACAAAATCACAGAATGCCTTGGATTTGAGGGGACCCTAAAGATCACGTAGTTCGTACACCCCTGCCATGGGCTGGTTGCATCCCACCAGGCCAGGCTGCCCAGAGCCCCATCCAGCCTGGCCCTGAGCACTTCAGGGATGGGGCATCCACAGCTTCTCATGCAGCACTTGCCACTGCCTCAGCACTGTGAGTAAAGCTCAGCCCTGTTTTCCATCCCTGCACGTTTTCTGATGCCATGCTGCCTTGCACCAGAACGCAGCAGGAGTGTGCATTCTGGGGTGAGGTGGGACAGAACGGAAGGATCAGCAGGAAGGGAAAAACTCTGGTTAAACCGAATAAAAAGCACAAAAGAACAAAACACAACACAACAAAAATACCCCAGGAGTATCAACAGCAAAAACTGCAACGATCTACTGTAGATTTCTAGCAAGACTGCGGTATCTCAGTCACTGTAGCTCCCAAGGAAGGTCAGACCAAGAGCTGTTCGCAGTGACAGGACCAGGGCGGTGCTGCTCTGGGAGCTGCAGGTTCCCGAGGTACCGAGGCCGGCCCTGCAGCCGCAGCGCTCCGTCCCAGTCCCGGCAGCGCGGAGCTGCCATCCGCCCTCAGCGCCCCGCCGCCCTTCCCGCCAATGCCCGCCCGCGCGCTCCTTCCTCGCGCCCGGCTCCCCTCAGCCCCGCGCCGCCCCCGGTCAGCGCTGCTTGTGAAGCCCCTCGAGCAGCACTGAGCGCACGCGTTTTGCACAGAGCGCCTCAAACGCGTGTTGCTATGTAATGCGGAGAGACGTTTCCTGCTGCCGCTGTCCCACAGAACCGGGCTCTGCAGCGCCTGTCCTCCCTAAGGTGAAGAACGGGTGGGTTTCTGCCTCCACCAGGTCAGTCAGCACCGCGCTTAAACCGTGTGCTTCATGCTGTGGGCACGCACTGTTGTAACATTAACGTTCTGCCTACAGAATTAATGAAATGAACCGTTGCCACTTTGCTTTTTCAGAGCGATTGGGGCTGAAGAGGGCTTGAATTGTGCTTTGCAGTGCAGCAGCAGCTGCTGAACTCTGCTTAGCACTGTGTCACAGTACTCAGAGCTCCTGAGTTTAGAGGTTTGAGTTTAGATTGAAGGTCTTTCGAAGGCTTCAAGGCTGCAGAGATGTGGTAAAGCTCAGGAACCAGAAAGAACCCTCGTAGTGTTGTGGAGAAGCTCACTGCTCTCAGTTTGCACAAGCCTGATGTTCTAAAAACGTGGTGTTGGAAATCCGACTGCACAAAAGGAGTTTGAAACAGATATTAGCAAGGAATGCCAGCTGCCCTGGGAAATTACACCTTTTGCAATAATTTCACTTACAGCACTGTGGATGCTGTGGCCTAAAGAGCTGCACGTTGGGTTGTGGCAAGGGTAGGAGTGGAAAATAGAGTCCTACGGTTCATAATACGGGGAAAAGGAACTTTACTGCTCTCTGTTGATTTGCCTGGTTCAACATTAATGGCTAGCATGTTAGTAAGAGTCCCCTCACCTATGGGATTAGATCTTACTGTACCTCCTAGAAAGGCATAAAGCTTAGTACAGCACTAACATTTCTTATTTTGATGTGAGATACCGAATTGACATGGGTTCATACTGAACTGACATGCCTTGAAATGCCATGTTATCGAAGTGTAAAGGGATTTGCTAGATAGGAGAGATCACATGAGTGCCTGTGGAAGGGCAGTGCTGAAAACCATCTTCTACTCTGACAAGGTGCAGGAAGTACCATTGTGTTCCTCTGTCTTTAACTGAGCTGAGCTATGATATCTGACACAAATGAAGCAGTTCAGCCTTTCAGCCTGCTTACTTGATGCTAGGGCCAGTCTGTGGCTCTGGAAGGATGATCTGGATTTAAAAACAAAAAAAGGGGCGGGGTGGGGGGAGAAGGGATAAAAAGCCACCCCTTTAAATTTCATTGGACTTTGTAAATGTTTTCATTGCAGATTACAACATGATGTCCCAAACCTAGAAGTCCATTATCTTTCATTTCAGAAACTCTTAAATGAAGTGTTTCAAATGATTTCTAAATGAAGTGCAGTGTTTGAGCTCCATGTTTAGTTAATTCACAAACTCCTTTTCTTTTCTGAAGTCTTGAAGCTAGACAAGCTTGTAGAATCCTTCAGAATGGAATCTTCTGGGGCAATTCAGTGAATAACTCAAATGTGGTGGTATTTATCAATATGTACTTTCATTACAGTCTCCCTTCTACTGAGATGGGCATAAGATCTGTGTATTGTTCCAAACAACTGATCTTATCACTAGAATACTAGAGGATATATCTGTTTCATCTCACTGTAACATAATGTATTGTTTCAGTGTAAACTGGAACACGCATATGTATTGGAAGTGACATGGAAATGCTTTATGTATGTCACATCATACCTACCTCTATACCTTGGTTCACAGGCCAGGTTTGGTAGCATAGCTGTCCTAATGAGTGCAGGCAGAGCAAGCTCTGCGTTTTCACAGCTGCTGTGAGGTACTTCTCATCAGTTACAGCTGATGACTGACAGTAAGCATCATTAAATAACATTGTGAAGAACTGTTATGGAGATAATAAGGTGCTGCTGTTCAAAAGCATGAGAGTATAAAGCAAAGCTCACTGGAAGGAAAGCATGTGATCCGAAGGGATTGCTTTGAAACTTACTGCTTTACAGCTATGTTTGGGTGCGATGGAAAATGCAGTAGACTGAGAAAAGCAGCTGCTTCTGAAGGGGTCATGCTGAAGCTCTGAGCTGTGTGATTCTCCTGTATTCATGGAAATGGATGGAAATCTTTTTTTCCAAAGTTAGAATGAGGTAAGTCTAAAACTTCTAAAGTAAAGAGACAGGATCCCAGAAATATTTGCAATGTTTGTGATAAAAGTGCTTTGTTACTCAGAGGTAATGCGGCAGCATTTTGGATAGTCAAAAGATGTTTTAGACTTCCTGCCAGTCCTCAGGAACTAAGCAGGATTCCAGGGAAAAAATTCTACATGGCAATTTCCAGTTTTCTGTCTAGAAAGAAAAACAGAATATTACAGAAATAGAAAATACGTAAACTTCGGGATGATGGAGTGTTTGGGGTCTACTACTGATTTAGTGGGTTTTTTTCCATTGTTGTTCTTTCTAAATTTCTTCTTTCCTTGCCTCAAGTAAAGGTAAATTCCAGCAATTCATTCCCTCCCCTACGCCCTCTCCTTTCTTCCCTTTTCCGTCCTCTGTAATAAAGACAGGTAAAGCCATAGTTCAAAAGCAGAAAACAAATTCCTGAGACCAAAATGTGAAAGCTGAACTTTATAAATTATGGAAAAATATTGATGAGATTCCAGACTCAAGATTTTGGTGTTTTATTGTACAAAGAATCCAAAGGCAAAAAAGAAGGCTGAGGTATCAGCTGGAAAATAGAAAGCTTTAATATTTTGCCTTTAAAAAGGGTTTCTGTGTGTAAGACTTAAGTTCTGCTGTGGAATTCTTTCAGAACGAGTATTTAGTTTTAATTAGCAGGGTGGTATCTTGGTTAATGGCATTCTTTGAATTCTTCAGTGGCCATGAAATGTTGAGACCTTATTAAAGAAGAATGTAGAGAAAGAGGAGTCACGGGAGATGAATATACTCTTCCAATTTCTCAAATTGAATGTTCCAAGCATACATGTTCATGTTTTCAAATATATTGTTAATTGGAAGAACACAATGAATGCTTATGGAAGTGCAGTGGCGCATTCAGGGGTGTAGTGATTCAGTGGTCCATCTCCTCAGGCTGCCTATGTGCTGTAAGCAGCACTGCTCTGGGCAATGTGACAGCTGTGCAGCTCCCTGTGAGCTCTCTCAAGCTGACCTGGAAGTGTTTTTTGACTGTATTACTACGGCTTCAACTGCTACACAGTATTTTGAGTTTATCAAATAAAAAACTAGAAGACACTTCTGAGCCAACTTAATAATGCTGGAAACGGAGGGCAATGCTGCTTCACCTCCAATTTTCAACTGACTTGGCTAACTAACAGTACATGTATGAGTCCAGTCGTCTTTTAGAGAAAAGGAATAATATTTGGTGTGAAGCAGATCTGCTACTGTATTGTGTAAATATCTTCCGTGGGTTTTATGCATGAAATACATGCCCAATGTACAGTCAGCTACACTGACTCAGACTGGTAGTCCAGCTGTCTCAGTATTCTCATGCTCCAAGTGATATGAGAAGAACAGAAAGTCATCAGTCTCCTTCAAGATTCTAAAGACGTCTACATTTAATATGCAAAATAGTAAAAAACAAACAAAAAACCCTCAGCCTTCCATAAAACTGAAGTAACCGCATACTTAGGTTACTCCCAATTCCTGCTAATGCAAATACCAATATAATTCAAAGCTACTATCTTCTGGAATTAACAGATGGATTTGATTAAATGAATAAGAAAGCATCTCACATTACCCCTAACTGTAATAAATTTAGTATTTGCATATTATTTCAATGAAGGTTGTCAAAGACATGCAAACTAGAAGTTGAGCAATTGAGTTTCTGAGCAGATAGGGATCTTGAAATGTAAAAGATGATGCAGTCTTTGTCTTTGCTGAAATTTATACTTGTTTCTTTTGACCTTTTTTCCCCTTGAGCTTTTTGTGATCCCATCAGAAAGCCTTCTCAGACAGTTCAGAGAGCTTCGAGGCCAGCATTCCCTCAGTCCTTGAAAATAGAAACAAACCTGTATCACTCATGAGATCTAGTTCTTATGTTATGTATACAGTCAAAATACACACATTAAACTGAATAAATAGCTCTATAACAAACTAAGTGGTTACATATGGCACTGCAGTCTTAAAAGGGGTCATGTCTACCTTTTTTATTATTTCATTAGATAAATAATATAGTTTATAATTTCAGAGTGGTCTGAAAGAATTAAGTGGCTGTGATTTTCAATGAGAAATAAGAGCCCAGTTGCTCAGAAGAACACATTTCACAGAGTTGCACTTCTCCCCTCTGGGGCTGTTTTTATTTTTGTTGTTTGTTGTCGTAGATTTTGAGAGCAAGAGTTACTTATCAACAAAAAAAATCCATTAAATGTTGAGAAAGTAATTTCATGCTAACATTGTTTGCTATCGGCCACTTATCCAATAGCAATGAAATCCCATTTTTCTTCATTAGAATATGTACTTGAGCTGCTGAAAATCCCCCTCTTCTTGTAATTTTTTCTTTTGGACTAGTGTAATAATAATGCTTTGGGATTCAGTCCAATCTGTTGTCTGAAGATCTTCTTTTTCCCCTAGGCTGTTAAGAATAATATCTATCTGAATTCTGTGCTGAAGCAGAGAGTTTAATGATTACATCCTACACCCAGTGGAGTCAGTAGAGCTTTTCTTAAGGATCTCACTGATTGCAGAACTCTTGTAATAATTCGTTCAGCACATCCCTGAAATTTGGCAGCAGTGATCAGAACTGAAGTCTTCATTCTGATAACACAGAATTTTCCTCCAGTCGCTTTCACAGCACTTAGGTGGCATGAGATCTAGCTCACAGTCAGCGATCTGTTCAAACTGCTTGGAGTTGAGTGTTGAATCTTTCAAAGTAAAGCCATCTTTCTACATTTTGGGAAGCAATTCCTGATTACTTTTACAGTGCAATGTGGTCTAGCTTTACAGCTATGTGTGCTGTATGTTGTTTTGTGCTTTTCTTTTAAAGGAAGTCAAGCTGCAGAATCTCCCCTATTATGAGAGAAAGTATGGTCTTGTCTTTCAGAAGAGCATCCTTTGTTAGTGCTTGATATTTGTATAGTCCAGGTCAGCATTTAAAGCATTTAGGGGTATTTCTTTTTGAACTAGTGGATATCAGTTTTCATGCATTTGATGATACCTTTGAGAGGGTGGTCCTCAGCAGAGCAATTGCACT